ACACACACACATATGCACGCATACACACACTCAAATCCAGAGGCCATCATAACAAATGAGCAGCCAGGGGGAAGAGTGGTTCTGTGAAGGGGACGGAGGAGCAAACCTAGCAAACAATCTGTAGGGGACATTTTAATAGAGCATAAGGAGGAAATAATGCGCACAAAGAAACACATTTGGATCAAACTGATACAGTCATAGAGTACAGCACATACAGGATGCATTAGGTGAAATAATTAAATGTCATTTCGTCTTCCTGGGCTAAAACCCAGCTTTATTATCGCCTCTCCGGATCACAATGCAAAGACACGGCACTAATTGACACTGATCTCCCATTGTCATTGAAATGAGACAGGGATCTATGAAAAGACCCAGGATAATCTGCTCGAGTAGTACCCTCTTTTACATATACACACACACACTCTCACACACACACCCTATTGCTGTTCAGCATGATGTATGTTGAGCATCTGACATCAGGAGACCCTTTTTAAATTAATCCAGGCTCTTAAAAGTCTGATTTTAAGCCATGTACCTTTGGGCAGGATTTGTGTCATTACAACTAGTTTAGAAGCCAATCCTGGTCCAACAGCCAACTTTGACATCTGTGACATGAAGTAATGAACTTTAAGCCTCTCTTGCTCAAACACGGAGAACGGGCTTTCAGTGATATCTTGTATCCAGTAGATAAAAATGTGAGTGTTGCTGAGAGCGAGATGAGAAAAACAGATTCGACTGTCGTGTCTGGATTCTAATCTGGCCCGGAATTCTGTTCAAAGTTTAAACAATGTCTACTCCAGCTTTTCCAACCCTTACTAATTAGGTTAAAAAACAACTGCAAAATCTGTAAACTACACCGTGAAGAGCACAATCCTCCACCAAGGAGTGGAATAGCATTGCGTTTTCTATGGTGTTTTTCGACATACTTTAAGAAGTTTGAAGTGAGAAAAAAAAAAAACGTTTGGAAATGCAGACTTTTACTTTTTCTGTTAAAGCCTGTTGACTGAATTTTGAGAACAGTTTTTACATTTGAGTAGCATTCATTTCATTGTTTAGTATTATCCTTTTTAATGTTAAAATAGTAATAAACACCAAGTAACATTATGTTTAAAATCCCCATTTATCATTCCCTATATTCCTATATGGTGTCAGTACAAACGATGGCAGTGAGAAACATCAGATTAATCTACTGACCTTGAAGGAGTGGTCAGAGGTCAAATGTGACCTCATATTTTAAATCCTTATATGGTACTTTGTATATGTAGACAATATACATCACACTTGTAAGAATTATAGTTTCTAGGTTAAATGGGTTTTTGTCCATTTTCGACCAATAAATCATCAATCACGTTGACCCTGAAGACTTTGGTGTAAACCAAATTTTAACGGATTGTTAACATGACCCCACTCTACAACCTTATGAAGTTTAAACAGAATTAATTTAAAACTTCTCAAGATCACGCATTCAAAGACATGAAATGATGACATGCACACGCAAATGCATATGCTATGAAAATTACAAACTCCTGGCACAGGTAATAAAAAGGCAGAGGCAAAAGTAAAAGAAATGTACAAACATTCTCTACAAAACAGATGTCTAATTTCGAACAAAAAAGGAGAATACATGTGACCGTTTTTCCACAGCTGCTTCATGCCCTTTTATTATTGATCATATTGATGGGGAACCTGTGAGATTGCACCACAAAGACTTGACAGAACTCTCGATTGATTTGTTTTATTTGTTGGCATACTGCTATGTGTTTAATAGTCATATCGTGTTAGCCTCCTGCAAACTGTATTCTCAAATGTTTTCTGACAGGAAAAAAAAACAATTTCATCTGCCAGACACGCTGAATATTTTCACTGCCTCTTAAGAACCTCCTTCATTGGCCCACTGGGGACAACAGTGGCATTCAAACAGGAACATCTGACAACTGAACAAATCATTTAACAGTCTCAAATGAAACACTCAATAGTACCACTGCCTGTTTGTCTCGATGGTTTTAGCATCAACCCCCCAGCAGACAATGCAGCGCGCTAAACCTGGCAGACACACATAAATGTACACAGAAAACATCTTCATTTGGCTCTTCTCGTTACTTTAAATAATCTGGGT